TGATATCTATTTGAAAAGGTTGCATTAGTCTTGCAGGGATTTTAGGGATGTTTTTTTAATTTATGGCAGGATGAATTCTATTTTGTTTCCGATGGATATATAATCCTAAGTTGGTTGACTTTGTCAAGATTATGGATATACATTTTTATGGAGGACGTTGGTGAGATATTACTCCCTTATTCTCTCCAAGGAAGGAGTTCTGCAGTATGTATTAGATGTTTGAATAATATTTGTATACAAGTTCTTATGTGTACTCTGAGTGGTTGGAACTGATTTGACTAACTGAAATGAATCTCGACCCAAACTGATTGGAATTGATAACTCTACCTATAATTAAACCGAAAATCTGGGTACGTTAGGTTGCTGATGCATTTGTTATAATTAAGAGAAATGATTTATAATATACCCAAAAATTAATAAACAACATATTTGAAGACATCAAACTCACCATGTGAGAAGAAGAATTAGATAACAAAATCCCATTTTTAGATGTCTTACTCAGGAGAACCGATACAGGAAATTTAGAAACACAAGTATATAGAAAATCAACGGACACAGATCAAATTCTCAAATATATTAGCAATAATCTAATTACTCACTCACGAAAGAAACTGTGTGTAGACACTGTTCACAAGAGAGTTCAAACACAACACTGCAGCACTCCAGAGTTGAAAAGATTGGGAGAAAAGTACCTACAAACGGTCTTTAAAAAGAATGGTTATCCACAAAATTTCATTAATAAGTGTTTTAAGTGGAATCAAAACACCAACAAGGAACCATCATCAAAAGAATACAAGAAAATTCATCCTACCATACATGAGAAATATCTGTGAAATAACAGCTAGAATATTGAAACTAACAGAAAAAGGAGATAAAATTAATACCATTTACAAAGTGAATTTTATGAACTGTAACAGGCATTACATCGACCAAAGTGGACGTCCCCTTCGAATCAGAATCCAGGAACACAAATCAGTTGTGAAAAGACACGATATATATTCTTTAGTATCAATGCACATAGACAGTTATGGATATCAGTTTGATTGGGATAATGTCGAAATCTTAGACAGAGGAAACACCTAAAGTGCAGTCAGGGAATTCCTAGAATCCTGGTACTCAAATGAGTATGCAATTAACGAACACGTTAATGTAGACCAAATATACCAACTAATAAAAAGTAGATCATGTGACCAGAAAGTTTAAAATCCCATTTAATAGAAAATTCTCAATGCATATGTAAAGACAGTTACCGGGAGACGCAATTCTGTCACTCATGAAGAAATTTAAATCAGTTCACTTTATGCTAAATATTGAGCTGAAAGGGGATGTTGTCCAGAAGGACGACGAAAAATCCGCAACTAAACCATTAGCTCAGAGAACACTATTAATTACAAACCCAAACACAAGCAAAACGGCTGTTCAGATCAATTCGATCTGGCTAACAAGCACTACTGGTTGTTGCTAGTTGTGATCAACTACTCATGTCGTTAATTCAGTAGTATATAACATCACGCATCTTTTGTGTCAGGATTTCATACATTTGGTTCCGATGATGAATTTCGATAAATGAAATAAGAAAGATCAAATTTCCAGCAGAAGTGATGTCATCCTTCTATTTCACGTGTCCTCATCAGCTAACTTCAACTGACAGAAGTTAGAATTCAAGGACCATTGGATCGGGTCCCAGTGGCTCAATGGTCTACGAGCTCGCCTTGTAACCAGAAGGTCCTGGGTTCGAGTCCCGGTGGGTGCGTACTGATGAAGAGTCCCAAACTAGGACGAAAGAGCTGTCCAGTACTCCCAGGTTTTCCAGTGGTTCTCTAACTGACGTCAGCTCATGATTAAATCCTCCATGCGATCAAACAAAATCCCTACAAAACCAATACTTGAAAATTAACTTCAAACTACCTGAAATTCCAATGCCTCAAGGTATTTCAAGCCTCGGTGGGAACATCATCACTGACTGAGAAATGCAGGTGCATCCAGCTGACGAGTCCCAAATAGGACGAAATGCGCATCCTGGATTCCACCAATTGTATAATAAATTGTTTTGTTTTAAAGCCTCCACAGGAATGATCCTTTTACCGACAAAGCTTGTTTCTAATTGAGTTTGTCGTTGGTTTAAATGCCAGCCACTTTTATTCTTGCCTTGTTAAGAACTAGCCGAACGTAAAACCTAGCAAAATCTAGATTGGTTTTCCCGAATAAGATAAGAAATCTAGAGAATAATTCAGCTACAGCACTACATGCAGTTACACCCAACCATACAATATGATGGGATAGGATAACAGTTTTAAAATCTAATGTAGCGGCAGGGTGGAGGGAGAGATTGATAACAGAAGCTTTGTTTATCGTATCAACTGAGACAGAATACATGTAATAGGAATGATTCAACACCTGTCCAGTCGGATATCTGGATAATTTTACTACCCCAACGACGACAAATAGGAGAGAACAAAGAAGACTATAGTACTCAAGTTTCAAAGTCGTGTGGTTATAGTTGATGACATGATTATGAACAATAAATTTTGTTCGGAACCTTGTCATCCAGTAAATAATACTGTTTCACTGACTATGTGATACATCTAATAAACAAAATAATATGGAATCATTACGATTTTTAGTTTACGTTTGTAAACTATCAAACAATGAAATAACGAGAGGTTGAGAGAAGACAGAAAACAGAAAAATCTAATAAACAGTATTAGCTTGTTCATCAACACAGGAACTCAAAAAGGTCTAAGTTCATCAAATTGAAAACTGGCTGAGTAAGCTGAGCTCACTAATGTATATGGCTAATCAGTGCAATCAAACTAATACGGTTACCAAGGGAGTCAGAGATTGACTACACTCTCTTTCTGTGCGTACAAGTTCGGTCTGAAATACTTGATTTCAATCGGTTCAGAAAATCGTACTAGATTCTCTGTCCTTTGTATGTTTAATATTTTGAAAGATTTGGAATTCTCGACAAAATGATCCGTCTCCACGTGGTGAGTGTCTGACAATTGCATTTTGTAAATATCTGCTTCCTTTTAAGCATAATTTTCTTGGAATATTCTCTGAAAACCGGATAGAAGTCCTGCCTTCTTTCTGTCCTTCCAATATACTTGCTGACGCAGGTGCACATAAATTTATAAATGCTTTAGGATTGTCGTTGTTTTAACTGAATATCTTATCAGTTAAAGATGATTTTTTGCGTACATGAGTTTCTAATTTTTCTGAACGTTTAAAAATGGAATTTCTGTTCTCAAAGTCTTTTTCTCTTGTAAATTTCTTGTCCACGAAGGTGTTATTGATTAGATTTTCATTATTTTCGATATCTTCTATCCTAAATATCTTGAATGTATCATCCGCTTTATGTATAAAGATTTTGGGTTTGATTTTCGGCGGTAACAAAAATTAGTTACAGTTACGCAGTTAGATAAGAGAGGGTCCGAATTTTATGCGCAAAAGTCCAGATCACAACATGATGTAACACGGCGAGTAGAACTCAGGAGATGAAGAGTAGTTGCCCCTTACGGACGTTAAACGGAAAAAGGTGGTAGTAGTGGCGTTGAAAACATAAGTTAATGAAATTAGAAGACAAACAGTTACTAAGAGATGAGCCACCATGCTGTTTAAAGTTCAATGACAGATTCCTTTCAGACACATTGGTCAGGTTTCAACCGTTTTATTGCGATAGCCTCAGCAAACCGTAAAAGACTTGAGCTATTTTATCTCTTAATTATTTTGAACGATGACAGCCCGTCTAAACAGCGTACTGTGTTCATCAGGTGTTTGGTGACTGAAGAGTTTAAACTGCTTGACCCCTTTAACGGGAAGCTCCCTGGTACATCTTCGAAGAATCTGATGTATCCCCTTTCTTTCTGATCTTCCAGTTTAACTGTTTTGCGAATTGATGTACACAACTGGAGGTAACATTTGAGGGGTACTTGTGGTTCACCGAATTGATAATAGATAATTCTTTTATCAAAATACCTTGTTAGACATAGATTTATACATTACAACCAACTTGAGTACTATATTTTTGAGTGTTGTGAGAACTGTCCAACGTTGTTAGGTAAGTGTTGTGTTGTTTCTTTAGATAGTTTTTGTTCAGTTGACGTGTTTATGGTGGTGTTGGCTATCAGTTCAAACTGATACACCGGTTACCTCATATTTGCAACTCATTTTATGGTTATGTTTGCATCCCAGTAGATGGTTCTTCTCCTGCTGAAACTCATATCTAGTATCCAACTCTCCAGAAGGTGAAGTCTTATCCACTAAGCCATTGACACTCAAGTGGCGCCTATGTGCAGTGGATATGATTTGAAGTCATTCGTTTATACTTCTGATTCTCAATGGATGTTTATATATATATATATATATCGATATGAAAGAAGCAAGCTCCTTCACCTACCTGGGAAGCATAATTTCAAATGCAGGCAGAACTGATCATGATATCAGAGCGAGGATCAGAAAAGCAAGACAAGCTTTCATTACTCTCAAGTCTGTGTGAAGATCAGCTTTCAGCATTCAGCATGGAAAATAACATCTGCATTTTCAACTTCAATGTGAAGTCAGTGCTACTATACGGATCAGAAAATTTACGCCGTGACACGAAGGAAACTTCGAACATACTACACACCTTCATCAACGGGTGTCTTCGCTCAACACTTCTCTCGAGATCAGATAGCCGGTCAGAAAAGATCAGCAACAGGGATCTCTGGTATATTAGCGAACCAACCCAACAGGAACCAGTTGTGTGGAAGCGAAATGGCTGGCCATACTCCGAGAAAACAAACCATCAATTAGGTGACATCACACGCCAGACCATTGTTCGAGTGGAACCTGAATGTGAAATGGCGAGTTAGCTGGTCGTCAGTGCGAGGTTGGGGTGACATGGAGGAGGAGGCGATGTGAAGAGGAGATGAAAGTATGTGAGCAGAGTGAAGCCAGGAGAAAACATTGGTAGAGAACTGTAGTAATTTATTGTACTTGAAGTATTAGTATTTCGATCTGACGGAATTATACGAATGAAACCAAAACTCAGAGAGGGCAGCAATCCGGAATTTGTATTTAGCGGAATTAGAATGCAATTCATATAAGAAACATATCAACAGTCAACAGTAAGTATTTAAACAATACAGAGATAGAAATTGTCAATCACCACATCCGCCACACCTCGAATATCTCCTCGCGTATTTATAACGATGTCTCGGTTTGCTTGCAAGTAGCTTCGAGCTAACTGATTCTGTGATATTATTTTCATCAGTACTATCTGGACTTATTTCTGAATTATCTACAAAATCAGGATTATTAGCGGAATCAATAATATTATAATTGGAACGACCTACTTCATTTATTGTCACTTTGTCCAGGTGTCCGTTATGAACTGAGTGATCTTTGATGTCTAATATCTTCACCACTCGATTTCCCATTTTTTGTAGTATAATTCCAACAGAAGGTCTGTAGTTATTATCTTTGTAATAATGTACATTAGAAGTAGTGGACATCAGATGCTTTTTGAGAATTCGAGATTTGAATAGTTTTGCAGGACTTTCACAAGAACTTGTATGCTCTGGATTCACCAGACGTAGTCTATGCATATGCAGTAATTCCTCAATTTTATTCAGTTGCTCTCTCATCTCATTCAGGTCTTTTCGTGCTTTCGACAGTTCACATTGCAACTTAGCTACCTCATTTTTGAATACAGTTGATACTTGCGTTGCTGAACTTGCAGTGGAGGTTTTCGTTGGATTAGCTTGAGTATTTTGAAAAGTTGAAAGACACATAGACTCCATTTTACTAGACAGCTTGGGAGAATTATAAGAATGTTGAGCAACATAAGTACTCGAACTCCTGCAAACCGTCTTGATGTGTCCAACTTTACCACATTTATAGCACTTAGCACTCCGAAAACGGCAAGTGCTTCGTAGATGTAACTTTCCACAGGATAAACACGGTTTAATGTTTTTGATCTCTCGCTGCATTCTATTACCTGTGGACGGCAGTTTGGATTTCTTTCCATGAACACTTGTATTTTCGACTTTAGAAAGCATAACATCAGACACTGACGTAGTGGGAGCAGAGTATTCATTATTGACATCTTCATATGTAATACATACATCTTTAGCAGTTTGAAACGTACAAGAAGGAATCTGAATTAACTCTTTCTCTAATTTAGGAATGTTGATTCCAGCAATTAGACGATCACGTAGTTGTGTATGCAGCTGATCTCCAAAATTACACTTTGAGGCTTGAATTTGGAGTTGTAGTATAAAGTCTCTTATCTTCTGATTGGGAGAACGTACCAGTTTGTTGAACTGAGCCCTCTCTCTGGTCTCAAAAGTAGTTACATGGAAGTGATCTATAAGAAGTTCACGGAGCTTAGCATATGGCATAGAAATGGGTTTATCTGGAAACGCCAGATTCTTCACCAGGCTATATGCATCAAGACCAATAGCGGTGATGAAATGAGCAGGTATTTTATCATCCCGAACATTCTTGGAAATGCACCACGCATCAAAGCATTCCAAATAATCAGCAATCTCCCGCGGAGAACCATTAAGAGGAAATTTTCCCAGGTTACTTAGCTCCATCGCGACGCCAATTTGTAGTAATTTATTGTACTTGAAATATTAATATACCGGGATGACGGAATTATAGGAATCTAATCAAAACCCAGAGAGGGCAGCAATCAGTAATTTGTATTTAGCGGAATTAGAATGCAATTCATATAAGAAACATATCAACAGTCAACAGTAAGTATTTAAACAATACAGAGATAGAAATTGTCAATCACCACAATTTGTTAAATAGATCAGTGAGAGGGTGACACAGAATATCAGAACATTTTTCAAAGATAATACTGGGGACCTAAGCTCAGGGAAGGGTTTATAGACTTGAGGCACTTTTGAACATCACTTGTGTTAAAACCTGGAAAGGGGCTATTATTAACACAAGTGATGCTGGGAAGCATGGCATTTGAGGGAGAGTAAATAAAAGATTTGTTGAGAGTACATACATCGAAAGAATATGGAATATTGTTTCGATAAAGATAATTAAGAAAACGAGATTTCTATTGTATAAACAACATTATATGCGTAAATATTTCTGACTGGGTTGCGTTCATATAAATGACCCTTTTAGAAATCTTTTCATTTCCGATAACTCCTTATACCATTTCAAAAACAATGAGAAAAAAGATAAATCAAACTAAAAGGTTAGGAAATTATGAGTCATGCTTCATTTAGAATAATAAATGCGTAGACCTATGACCTGAAAAATTGTTTTTATTTCGGAGGAAATTAGTCACCATCCATCTATCTATCTATGCACTATTGATTAAAATGAAGCCCTAAGTTCTCATTTTTCTAGTCGACTAACTAAATTGTTCAATAAAGTAGGAAGAAATGGCAAAGAACAAAAAAAAAACCACGGCTTAATGCTTCTCTCAGGGCTTCTATTTTCAAGTGAAGTAAATGCATTAATGTAGAGCTTACTACTGAGCTAACTGATTTTCAAAATACAGTTTAGCATAGAAGTGCAGCAGTTCATGTTGCTACACATCCTTCACATAGCACACAAATGGTAGAAATAGGCGAAACAAACAGGCGAGACCTATTCTACTTTACTGCTCCCAATAAGTCTTTTCTAGGCTACTGAAAAATGAATGACTATACCATCCTGAGAAGGATGTTAAATGGTAGTTAGTAGGACTAGTGGTGTAAAACTCAGTCAGCTCGTAACTCACTACATTACTAGATAAGCATCTGAATACATGCGAAAAATGGTCTAAATCTATACTCTCCGACCCCCAACACCACCCACTCTATTCCAAACTCTCCCCTTGTATCTCATCAGGTAGAACCAGAAATCAGTACAAAATAACATATGCTGGTACAACCAAGTACAGGAACTCAACGATACCATACATGGCCAACCCGTGTTCTAAGTGACAGAGACGAGACAATGTTAAGCGCGAAACCTATGACCAGCTTTGTTGTTAATAACATAATTTTGGCTCTTTTATTTCTCCCTCATTTGTATTCTATACTGAACACCTTCTTAAACATACTTAGCTACCCGCAATCATTAACATTGGCTTACTTTTTTATTCTTTATTCTATTCCTTCTTTTGTGTATCTACTGGTTCCGAAGACTGTATTAGCATTATGAGTATTACAAAAGTGTCCTGTCATTAACCATCATGTAATATTAGTTTTGTGATTGTTTGTTTTTGTTCGCCAATATTAAACTGACAATCTTGGTTGTGAACGCCGTTATCACCATCTTAAAAATTTTGTATTATGCATGATTACTCACACAACCACTACAAACACCGCATTAAAGCTGACAATAAAAACACAACCTGAAATGTTTATTTTATGATTGTTTAGTGTTGTTCAATCAAATTAACTGATCATCTTGGCTATAAACATTCTTAAGAACATCTCATAACTTCTTGTATGGCTATAGCTTTACTGTCACTATGCATAAACATATCATAGCTTCCACTACCCAATCCTGAGATATTGTTTCTTATGTTGTTTATTCTCCTTTCTACGTTTTGGTATTTTTTCGCATTTTTTGTAATTTTTTTTCTTCGCCTTTTGTTGTTGTTGTTTTTTTATTTATTTTTTGAAATACTCTTTTTAAATGTTTGATAAAATTAGATGCAATATTGTAGATATGTGCTGAAAATTCCACACTGTACCACTAGTACTATTCCTGGAATAACAGCAAAAATTATTACTATTATTAAAAAGGAATGCAAACAAACTATTGATTTTAGATATTTGAAAGCAATTGGAACGAAGCTCTTCTTGATCTAAGTTTCCTACTTGTTCGTATTTGTCACCAAGGCAAATTTTGCAACCTTGAAGGAATCTGTTTCCATTGATCGATAAAATTCGTTTTGTACTAAACAAAGGACAACGCGATTGATGCTAGGTACTTTGTAGTGTTCAATCAAAGTATCAAGAACAGGAGATTTTACAGGAGGCCAGTCGTGAGCCTGAATAACTCAGTGGTAAAGTCTGTCACTGTGACATTGTTTGACAAAGGGTTCAAATTTCAGAAGGGATAGGAGTTACTTAAAGTTTGGTAATATGCCTTTCTGACTGACTGGTGCGTGGCAACCAGCACAAAACCTAGGTAGAAGACTTTGCGCTGAGTGATATCAAGCATTTATGATGCACCAAGATGGCAAACCATCTAGAATGGTAGATATATTGCAAAATTGACTAATATGCGTCAAAGAAAGGACTAGACATATGATATCAATAACTAGCTAGTATCCAATCGAAGTATTAAATGAACTGTAACGTGGAGAAATATAGCGGCGAAAGAATAGTAATATGGAGAATTTGAGGGTGTAATGCATACTGGAGGTCAAAGACAGTAAAAGCATCCAAGTCATTGTGAGGAAGGATTTTTACGCATGTCTTCAACAAACTTAAGCCATTGATTTTTGGTGCCTTGTAGCCGTCAACCAGGCAGTTAATATGTTTCAGCGTAGTCGGCTGAAATGAATTGTCATGTATTGATGCAAGGTTTAGGTTTAATTATCATAAGCGCCTTTCCAATCCAAAGCCATGTCGGATATCAATAAAAAGAATGATACCAGAGATTTGACTTATTCCGAAAAATTAACAGTACTTGTGATACAGTATGGAATCTTCAGCATGTGCCACAATACTGTATCCTATAAACGCAGTGGAAGTACTTTAGGTGCAGCTGGAGTCTCGCATCATAACATTTTCTCCAGTTTAGACAGAGGAGGGTAAATTTGTTCGCTGCACCTTCCTAGATTATACATCTGCTTTCGACTCACTACCTAGGGACATTTTAATAAATAAGCTGGCTGAAACTCAAGCTGACTGTTGAGTTGTCAAATGGCTGGATTTTTATTTCTCAGGAAAAAAGTAGTACACTGTATGTCAGGAGAAGTCGTTCACTTCATTGCTTACTGAGGCTGGTGTCTCTTAAGGCTCTGTCCTTTCTCCTTTTCTGTTTTCTTTATTCTTGCATGACTTAACTCAATCTGATGATGAAATGAACTTTGTTAAGTACGCCAATGATCTAACTGCTTCAATGTCTGTTAACTCCCAGCTAGACTGTGCTAATATGAACAGCTTTCTATCAGCAATTAGCAAATGGTCTTTGTCTAACGGCCTTAAACTAAATCCTTCCAAAAATCAGACTGTTAATTTTTATTTCCGATGTAACAGAAATTTATATGAAGCTGTTAATTTCCATGACTGTTGTAAAATTATTGAGAGTGATGATATAGAAATCAAGTCCGAATTTCTGATCTGTCATGGTCTTCCGATGTCTTAGCGATTTCTTACTGACTGACTTACTGTCTGACTTCTTACATTCAGAAGTTGAGGCACTCAAGCATAACTGAAACCCTCCTCCTACATTTTGTCAACTCGTGCATCTTACCTATTATTCTTTACTGTTCGCCCTTATTCTTTGCTGAATTGCTTAAAAATGACTATGTCATAATTCATAGAACTCTGAAGACTGTCAATAGGGCGAGTGGTGGTATCTCATTGAGCCATATCGTTGACATTGTCACTGATAGGCACTTGATGTCATGCAACAAATTCGCTAAAGGGATTTTGTCAGAATGTTAGCTTCCTTTTTACCAGCAGCTTTCACTTCACATCTCCTCAGATAGAAAAACAAGTCATTTCATCAAAAGACTTTATGCGCGCAAGTCTAAGTATACAAATTCTACAATGTCATGTTTGGCAAGTATTTTGTGCGATAAGAATAGTTCCAGGGGCGAACTAACTACTTAACCAACCTTCTTTCCGCTAGCATACAAACAATTTTCTCCATCCTTATACCAGCGAGTTTAATGCTACTTTTCCGATTATATTTATAGTCTCACAGTTTATTTGTTTTTACATAATTGTAAACACCATTTAAGCCTTGTAATGGTTGTTATTGTTTGTGTTTCTCACACGCCATGCTATACGAAGAGAATGTTAGATTCAATATTCTATAAGATGCTAACATTTCTATGCTGTGTCGACAATGTAGTTTGAAATAAACCCACTGTTATTATTACTAGTATTACTATTATTATGATAGTTATTATTCTCATTTTATACCATGCACCCTATCGACATTATTCCTACTGTAAATGTGGGAAAGCTTTTGTGGTTAATTTCCCTTATATATTTCGAATGAATTAGATGAAATACTATGATAGATGGTGAAGACTGAATGCTGTATCATTGGTACCGTTTATTTTTGAAATAAAGCAGTTACTTGGTATCTGTGTTTT